CGCCCTCCCTCTCTCTGCCGCCTGCCGGGGGCCGAGGAGCCGGCCTCCGCCCCGTGTGGAGGGCGTTTCGGGCCCGAATCGGCGAAGAGAAGGGAGCGAGGACGCCCGCGGCCCTGTAGTTGCACGTGGAGGTGGTATGCGGGCGCAGGCCGCTACCTCCTGTCTCGCTGCGGAGCCCACCGAATACACAAACAACAAATAACAATTTATAGAATTCCTTATTTCTCAAGACTTCAGGGAAGTGCGGTAAATACTAGCGCGAGGCTGGGCGGTGCGAAACTAGGAGATTGTAAAGCTGTTTTTTCACAGTCTGCTGCAAAGACAGGTCAGCCCTCAGCCAGTCTGGCGTCTCCTAGAGGGCAGAGACGTTCCCTGAAAAGTTTTCGCTGGATTTGGTGAGGGAAAGCTTGTGCCAAGTAAAAGCTGATCATTTCTTTGCATAGCAAAGAAATAAACGCTTCTAGCAGGCAAAACAGGTCAGGTCTGACCGCTGTGCTTCGGAGGGGTCTGGAGGTGGTTTTCCAGACTTTGCTGGAGCGACAGCTCTTCTCGGTCAGGTTTGCCTGCAGCGTGTCACGCAGCTTCGTTACCAGCTCTTTAGGAAAACTTTTAAGCGTGAAACACTGCTCTAAATTATGACCACAGTGACTTTGAAAACATTTTGCAGTGAGAAAAAGTGTGCATCTGTTACAAGTTGGCAGATTAACGATGTGTTTGCAGGACTCTCAAAACTTTCTGCTTGAAATAAGTATCATTAATAGCCTGTTTTCTAATTACAAGTGACAGACTTCCTACAAAATTCCTTTTAAGAAGATGCCTTTTGAGGATTATTGAATCAGATTATTGAGGATTTATTATCTTTATTACTAAAAATTCTATCATTTACTATTATCAACAATCAATATCATTAATTACTAATAAACATTAGTATTTATTTATTTATCGTTGAGGATTACTGAATCATATTTGCAACTGTGTGGCCCCCTCCTTATATTGCCTTAGCTCAAGAGTGTCCAAAGAGAAGCCTGAACGCTACCCAAGGTCCCACCGCTGTGCTAAAGCCACTCGCTCACTCGTGAAACGTATCTCATTGTCGCTGTGGCTCAGGAATTACAAAGCAAGGAGAAAAATCAGCTGTAGCTTTTCATTGCTGGTGAACTTAAGCAAAAGCAATAACACATGACCCTAAGCAATTTCTGGTCACTGATACCGTCAGATGCAAGTATTACAAATATACATACTTCAAAATAGGGTTTGTTTATATTTGTCTCCATATTTAACTGTCACTGACTTACTGTGGGATCTTTGGTGCTTTCCAGTGATATCATACTGAACCGAAATGAAGGTTTTATCGTCAATGTGTTTCGGTTTTTCTAGCAGTTAAATAACTGGAATTCACTGGAATGAATATCTCAAATTTTGGAAAATGCTACAAGGTAACAAATGAAAGTTACTATTGAATTGATTTGATCTGTTCCTCATTTTACTACTTTACTTGCACAAAAGTTAGGAATATATCTGCTATGTTTGTTGTTAATGATGTGCCTTTTGCTGCTGCTTTTTGTCTTGCTGGCAGAAAGTTCATATTGATTGCAACTTTTATTTTCATAGGTGTTGGAAGTGGCATGGTTTATCTACCTGCAGTGGTCATGGTGGGACAGTATTTTCAGAAGAGGAGAGCACTTGCACAAGGACTCAGTACAACAGGAACAGGCTTTGGAGCTTTCTTAATGACTGCTTTACTGAAGTATCTGTGTGTGGAATTTGGATGGAGGAATGCAATGTTCATCCAGGGTGCGATCTCTCTGAACCTTTGTGTCTGTGGAGCACTCATGAGGCCACTTTCTCCCAAAGAGGTTGTTAATGAAAAGTATGTTGTGAGAAATAATAGTGAGGATAATTGCGCAAAAGCTCTGTCCCATTCCACAGAGACTATAAAATCTAATGGAGTCTTAAATGAAGAACAGGAAAAAAAAGAAGATGCAACAAATGAAGAAGTGCTTGACAGTGTTCAACACACAGAAAATGGAGGTAAATCTAGAAGGAGAAAGAACATGTATGGACTGTGCATTCTTAAGACGGTGAGCCAGCTGACAGTTACAGTCAGGAAGGGGTTTGGAATATGGTACTCCAGTTACTTTGGAGCTGCATCACTGTTTACCAATAGAGTGTTTGTGGCCTTTATAATTTGGGCTTTGTTTGCCTATAGCAGCTTTGTCATTCCCTTTATTCATCTTCCAGAAATAGTGAAGCAGTACAATTTATCAAGTCAGAATAATATATTTCCTTTGACATCAATTATTGCCGTTGTTCATATATTTGGTAAAGTGATCCTTGGAATCATCTCTGATTTACCTTGCATCAGCACTTGGAATGTCTTCCTCCTAGCTAACTTTACCCTGGTTGCCTGTATTCTTATTTTGCCATTAATGCAAACATACATTACTCTGGCTGTGATTTGTGCTCTAATAGGATTTTCTAGTGGCTATTTTTCTCTAATGCCTGTTGTGACTGAAGATTTAGTTGGAACTAAACACCTTGCAAATGCCTATGGCATCATCATTTGTGCCAATGGAATATCTGCATTGCTTGGACCACCCTTTGCAGGTAAAAAAATTCAAATTTCTTACCAACAGATGTTTGTATTATATAACCATGTGATTGTCTATATTATTGATCTTCCTTATGTTGCAGACACATGTAGTTAACAAAATTACCCCTGCTCCAGAGTGGACTGTAACCTCCATCTTTACATTGTACATATTTACAGATTACATTTGCTGGCTACCAGCTCACTATTCACACATTACCAATTACCATCCTTGCAAATCACTCATATCTATTGCAAGCTATCCTTTCAATGGTATGTTTCTTTAAAATATTATCATATACTTTTTAAAAAAGAGAACAGGTTAACTTATGTTTTCTGTGTAGTATATGCACTCTATTCACATACACACTCATGCCTATATCTAGATGAAAAAATGATGGCTAGAGAGTTTTCAGGATAGGCAGCTATTTGTGCCAAGGCATTACCCCCAAGAACTATAAACTGTGTTTGGGCTTCACCACTGTAAGCTGCCAATGGATGTGTTGATTCAACTTACTCTCAGCTGATCTGGCTTTGCCTTTCATTCAGCCAGCAATATCTATTTTTGGGGCTGCACAGCCCATAGTATCTTTACTGCCATCCACAGCAGAAGGTAGAAGCATATGTCCTGTCATCCCTAAAGTCACTTAGGTTGAAACAACATTCATTATAAATTTACCCACAGAAAGAGATGGGAAAGTACAGGACAGAAATACATGCTGATTGTCAGTACCAAAGCCAGACTATGGCAGGCTTTTACGGACCTGCAAATCAAAAAAAAAAAAAAAATTATGAAGAAACCTTATAAGTAATGGTCATGGTCCGCAAGGGATGGCACTAGGCTGAACTAAAGCTATTAGCAGCACAACAATTCTCTCTCTCTCCCCACCATTGAGAGAGCTACAATGATTTAGAAGAAAGCTCATTCAGTATTCATTGAGAAGCAGCAATGTTTTACTTGATTATACGCTCTTTTAGCACCTCTCAGTCTATGCTGAACATATCTTTGTATTTGGTTTTTAGTAATGAAGCAAATAGGAAGCAATTATTTGGTGTAAAATAAGCTTCAGATCTTAAGGTTACATTGCAGGGCAACCAGCATGGCTCAAGGGAATTTCACTATTTAGTGATTTCAAACCTTTTGGAAATAATTTTAAGGTAGTTTTGCCTTTTCCAAGGAATTAAGGTTGAAATGAGAGTCATCATAGTACTGAGATTTTGTCTTTTGAAAAAGCATTTATCTGTATCGGAGTCCCTGAGAAAGCTATTGGAAATGTGTTTGCTTGCACAAGGCACAGCATTCAATCTAACCTGCGTAATACAAAAGTAGTATCAGGCATTTTGCAAAGAAAATAGTGGGGTGGAAGAAATGGTTTGAGATTCCAAAATATCTTTTAGAGACAGATCTGTTATATATCTGAAAAATGTACCGCGTTAGAGATGACATTGCTTGGCTTCATAGGACTGTGGAGGACATGGAGCTAAACTCTCGTATTAAGACTTCCATAATACTTAAATGATGGGGTAGGTTTTGTACTAGTTCTGGGTTGTGGTGAATATTTTGTTAATACATTCCCGTTTGTAGCATGTAAAGGAGGACACAATCACCATCTTTTTTTCCACAAGAAAAACATTGATTTGATTGAAATGTCCTGAGAGAAATGTGCAATATTGTTTGTATATTCCCATGCGATTTTTCTTGTTCTCAAGCTTTGCAATGAACATATTTTGTCCTTATTTTGCAGGTTGGATCTATGACATCACACAAAAGTATGATTTTTCTTTTTACATATGTGGCTTGCTATACATGGTGGGAATAATATTTTTATTTATCCAACCTTGCATTCAAAAGAAACAGCCAAGAGAAAAATCTACCGAAGAGGCACAAGTATAGAGCAACGGTACAGATGTTTTTTCTACAGAATTTCTTGGTTTTATGTTTCTATTGTGTGGCAGGATAAAGCCGTTCTTATGGAACCAATCACATCGAGCTGTACTAAAGTGAAAACAAAACATGCTCCAAAATGCTAATAAATTATTAGATATACGCTTTTAAAATGAGTTAAGATTTTTTACTTTATAACAAATATAGACTAAAAGCACACTGCCAGTCTTTTAAAATTTGAACAATGGTAGAAAACTTCACCCTTGATTCTCTTAACTTTTCACCTCTACACACTGGTGAAACAACATTGACTGCAGTGCAGTTACTCTGAATTTACACAAGTCCTAGAAGAGAATCTGATTTGGGTGTGAAGGATGTACCTTCACACCTGTAATAGGAAAACCTTCCTATTATGTATGCTAGCTGATAAAAAGATTAGGTACTGAGTATGAGATGATGATGGAATTTCTTATCAGGCTAGTCAAGTACCACTGAAATACTAGTACAATCATTCAATTAATTTAATGTCTTAAAATTACTATTTCTGTAATGAAAAATTGGAAAAGATTCGTATATTTTTCTGAAAGGGCTCTCTATTTCAAGGATTTTTTTATTGTATTTGTTTAAATCATCAACTGCATAATAAAGTAGCCATCCTCAATATACAGGCTGTAATAAAGTACAGGCCCATTATACAGGCTGCATTATAAATGCTCAGACGCTTAATGCACCTAAAGTAAAATAAACATAAAAGCAAAACCAGGAAATGGCTGGAAAATACTAATTTGATTCTTCAAAAGAAATTATAAGTTGCTAAGTCTGATGATATGTTGTCCGAGTTCCACATACACTAGTTTCCATGTTCAGACAGACTGATTTCTGAAATTCTGTTTTCAGTTCAACTATTTGAGCAGTTATTCATGATTTATATTGATATAATTGAGAACAGAATTTGGACCTGTGCATATAGGGTCTTCTGATTTTGCTTACTGAGATTTAGCTATATCAGTATGGACCAGATCCAAGGTAAATTGCCATATTTGATATAACTGACCTAGAGGTGCTCATCATACCCCCAGCAAGTACAAAGACATCTGAGATCAGTACGAATATTTTCTGTATTTTTAAAGTTATGCTTTGGAAAGCTAACTTTGGTCTGATTCTAGTTTGCAGTCTTTTATGATACAGAAATATTTTGTTTACATGCAAAATAGCTCCTTTAATAGCTCCCTAACATAATACCTAAAATATAAGAGAGAAAATAATATTTTGTTATGGCATATCCATTTTCTTAAACCTGCCTTATAGTTTGATGCATTACAGTTGAACCATTTCACCAAGGATTTCCCAGATTGGAAAATGATTCCCGAAACAGTTGGAACAGTTCCTGGCTGCTTTACACAATTAGACATATTGTAGAACTTTGTATGATTTTTATTTCCTTCCGTGGGAATTGTTTACCCTCAAGTAACCAATACTAAAGAAACAGAGACCAAATATCATTTTAGAAAGAACTAGAGTATAGCATGTTAAGTTTTCCTAAACTGAATTTTGGAACAAAACAACATTAAATTATGATCAGTTGTGTTGCTATATACAAGTACAGCGTGAACTGGCTAAGACTAGTCACTTTTTTTAATGTTTACTTGCTGGAGAATTAGATAATACAAAGCATGGAAAAACTAAAGACCATTTAAAATCTTTAAAAGAATTGTCTTAAACAACACCAAGCACCAGATGATCAGCATGGTATGTTTTGTGTGATGCTACAAGACATACTTTTCTCAGCTTTGGGAAGTGAAGCAGATGTTAATTTTCCTATAGCAAGTAAAAGTCACTTTGCAGTTCTTTTTGTCACGTTAGCTTTATAAAAGTTCTTTTCATGATAAATCAGGTTCTTTGATACTGATATACACTGCCAAAATTCTCTAAAAACAATTGATACTATTAAAATAAAGTGAACAACTATTGGCAGGCAGTTCGGCATGAAACAGAGTATAAGTATACAGATCTCTTTCATAGTTGCAAGGCTGGTTAAAAAGGTTCTGAACCTTGACTTACATTGTTCCGTATTGTAATTCACCAGCTTCTTAGTTTTGCAATTCTGCAACCGTTGGCAGGGACATACTTTAAAATAGATCACTGAAGTGAGTCAAGTTAAAAAGGAAAACCTTAAGAAAACCCCAAACTACTTCAAAACTTAGGTCAGTTCAGCGATATAGTATAGTATGATGTGACCCTGAAAATTGGTATTAAAGCGACTGAGATGGTAGTGAACTGCAACCTGCGGCATGAACAAGCAGGCAGTAATTGCTTGAAATCAGTTTTGTTGCTGGAGAAAATATTCATGTAAACTATGCTCTGACATCAGTTTTTTAGTTACAGGTTTAATGTTTTCTTGGTGTGAATGCTGCTACTAGATTTTAACTGAAGTATCCTTTATTGGTGAAACATATATATATATATATTCGCTGAAGTGATATTTTCATCAAATTGCTTCTTTTGCTTTGAAATATATGTATCCTTTACACTTAGAACTTCACTTTGTCCTCTGTCAAAAACAATTTTATTTGCATATTTCTGTAATGAATAATTTATTCTCTTATGATATCAGCAGTATATCTCCTTACTGGGCTGTATACTGGGAATAAACTTACATCACCTGAAATTTCACTTTCTGTTCATTTGCCAATTCAGGTCATTTTTTAAACTTAAAAAAATGGAGATTCTCCTGCAAAATGATTATTCTCATTTCTTCTAATAGAAAGGACAGCTGTATAGTTGATCAGGGAGATGGGCTGACAAAACAGAATTAAATTAGAAATTTCAATTAATATTCAGTCAGTCCATACTGGCTCGCATAGGTTCTAGTTTCCTAACCTGGGACTGCCTGAATTAGTTATGAGTGTACCAACTAACAAAAGTATTAACTGGTGGTAAATTGACAGAAAGTGAGAAAAGAGGGTCTATTGTTTAGTAGCTTTGCTCATATACTATAGTTCTTTAAAACTGTCTGAAAAAAGCCTACAGTTCATAGTGTTTTATTACATGGAAGAGAAATTTTGTGAATACAGCGTTGTATGCCCATGAGAAAATTGGAATTTGTCATTGACCTAAATGGAAATATTCACAAAGAGAAAAGAATGTGCTTAAATGTTGGAAGAGCAAATTTTTCACCTAAAGATCTGTCATCACCAAACACTTCAAGAATATTGGTATATACAATATACCATATATAACTCACACACACACACACACACATATATATATAACCATATAACCAATATATATGTTACAAAACAAAATATTCTTAACATAAATTAGCAAATATCTTTTAACGTTTAAAATACTGCTATGCTTTTGTCTTTATAAAGAAATAGAATAAGAACCCCTTATTTACAGTTTTTAACTGATTTATTAAATTCATATTTCATTCTCGATTTTTAAAAAAATTGTTTACCTAAATGCCTACAGAACCTCAGCCCTGAACTGAAGGGACCTACCTTAACTGAATCTGGTTCAAAGATACACATGGCATATGTTGAAAGCGAATTTTTCAGGTAAAATCTTGGGAACTTTACAGAACAAGCAGAAAGAATATCACTGACTAAAAGTAACAAGTAAATTATAAACTAAAGTATAAAGTTATAGTTGCCTAAAATGTCTATGTCTGTATCATATATGCAGCATATAATTTAAATAGAGAATTTTTTCCTACTGGTTTGAATATTGATATTGGTGTGAATACATGCCCAGAGGAGAAAATGGTAAAAAATTGGTATTATGTAAAAATAAACATTACCATTTTTGCTGGAAAAAAGCATTATGAAGAATTAGTAAAAAAAAAAAAAAAAATAGAACTTCCCAAAAGCACTGACGAAAATGAGACAAGCTAAAGAAAATCAATGTTTTCTAATGGTCATTTAATGCCACTGCAATCAGTAATTTTTTTTTTATAGGTAGAATTTGATAATTTATCAGTACAAGTGTCACTGTTAGCCTGGATGCCATAATTAATTCCTGCATAATTTTAGAGTAGAACTTTGAGTCTGCTTATATATTATCACATCACTTTTACAAGGATACTGACCTTTAATCTTAGGTGCCCTACGTATTATAATCATTTTAGATGATTATAATACGTTTTGGATTAAACAGAGCTAATCATTTACATGATTTTAAAGACTACAATGCCTTAACTTGTAGATCTTATGTAGGCAACCTAAGTGAACTCAATGGAAGTTGAGTACACCCTCCAGATATTATTGTAATCACTGTTTTTAATGCTCAGGTCTTAAGTCTAGTCAATGGCAAATGGTAAATTAATTAATCAGTGCTTTCAGAGTAGTAATATTTGACCTCTTAATTACCGAATTTGGTTGTTAGAGTATCTCAAAAACGTCAGTAAGAACTGCCTTTGGTTTAAAACACACTTAAATAACCAATATTGTGGTCTTAGAAGATAGCAAATATCTCTTACCAAATATACAACTAACAACAGAATTCAATTACTCTAAGAAGTTCCTTCATCAGCAAGATTAAGGAAATTTGCCTCTATCCCATTTTGGCAGCGTGCCTCAAACATGATTTTGATGGATTGTCCCAAGACAAGGAAGATGGTTTGATTCACACCCTCAGTAACCAAAGAAGTTTCTTCTTGGTGACAAAGGGATTATTTGCTTGAAGGTTATTAGTTAATTTAAAAACATATTAACATACATCAAACTGGAACCAGGCATATGTTACTTGCCTATAAACGCTGAAAATTTACTATGGTGGACGGTAAAAATTCAGCATTCATCAGCAATTCTTGTAGTAAGAACTGATGGTTTTCTTCTCTATTCTATAAAGGTAATGATGACAATGCCATAGCATCTATTACCAAACATGGACTAGGTACGTATAAAAAATTCGTAAGAAGTCAGAACAAAGTACAAGGGAGCCACAATCTCTTCTATTCCTAGTAACTGTTGTCATGCTCAGTATAATACAATTTCAAGAGGCCCAACATATTAAAGATTATATTATTTACATATTGGGCCTCTAGCAAGACATATTTTGGTTTTATTCTTCTAATCTTTCAGTTAACCTAGTTTCCCTAATAAAGAAGAAAAGTCAGTAAATATAACCTGATAAACAACAAATCCACACCTTACAACTGTTGCCTCAGTGAGAAAATGCATCTTTTATTCAGTTAGCTTTTCCTCTTGAACGTCTTTCTGCCGCCTTCTTCGGAGCTGCAGCTGCAGCTGAAGTTTGTCTGTGAAGAAGAATTGTTTCCAGCCCATTTCCTGTGCCAGTTCTCTCATTTCAGGTGTAATTGTGTCACATAAGTTCTCCACAATACTTTCCCATAGCGTGTTACTGTTACATATCTAGTCATAAGAGAAAGCAGAGGCTTAAAAATCATAATAGGCTTAATCATTGCTCACTGATCATTTTAACTGCACAAAATGTGATTAGACAACACAACCACCATGTATGAAGGTCACTGTAAGTGTAAGCTGCCCACCTACTATCTTGAAAGACACAGTGTTAGCTGAAACCCACAACAGCATGAGCAGAAGTTTTGTCCAACGTTGCCAATGCAAGATATTACATATTCTTCTCTGAAAAATTCTAATAGTTTCTTTTAGTATGATACTGAAGGCATTTCTACTGCATTGGAACAGGGGAGCTATAATGCCAAATTCTTTCCTGGTACATAGTTCCTGCAGCCCCAGTGAAATCGATGAAGCTGGCTGGGTAAGTTTATAGCACAGAACTTGGCCCAATGTAGAAATCACATCAAAAATACATACCTGTTCTCAAGGTAAGTAAAAGAGACCAAATGCGTTTGTTCATGATACTATTCACAATTGCCTTTGGAGTTTATCAGAAGCCTGTATTTTTACAACACGTACGCACATACAATAGAAACACTTATAGCAAAAATGCAGTTTTATGAAGCCCTCCCAAGAGTTGTAGGGATTAAGTCTGTTTTTTCAGCAGATGCTTCCCTCTTATGGAGTGACTCCATAAACAGAAATACTATATTAAAAATAATAAGAAAAAGTGATGTAATTTGTTAGATAAGACATATCCATCACCAAAAAGATTAGGAAAATAGATTGCATTGTTATATATTATCTGACCATTGTAAGAGATACCAGAGCCTATTAACATTGATCCTTCTCCTAAATGCTCCAGTCTTTTAAATGCATAATTGCACATTTAAGTAGAGTTCTATTAGATTACACCAATGCAAGTGACAGGTTTGTCCCTTATAATTAGTAACAGAAATAGAAGAGCAAAAGTCCTGGTATAACTTCTATTTTTATGTCTTCCCACCTGTGGGAAGTGCTGATACAGCAGCAAGTCATATATTACTTCCCCTTTCAACAACTGGATACTTTGAACCTTTTCATTCATCAGCTTCAGCAAGGCCGTATCAGACCACAGTGCAGTCCTCTTTCTGTTCTGGTTGAATTATAAGAATGATCATATTGTAGGCACACACAATATGCTAGCATATTTTAGCAAAGAAAAAACAGGGATTATTGGGGAAAAAATGCTGCAGAAGTCCTGAAATAAAAATAGATGCATTTTTATAGTTTTTTAAATTTTTGCTGGGTATCTTTCTCTAACTGTTCTGCTGTTCCTATGAAAAACAGACATTAAGTAAAAAAAATAGCAAAGACTAACTTTTAGCACTATATATTGTATTTTCAAATACAATGTTATATTTAAATAAATATGGATATATATAAAAAATACAGCCAGTCAGAAGATAAGCCAGTCATTACTACTGTTTTCTTCTGTGCTAATGGCTTCTGAACTGCATAGTAACAATTAGATCTTCCTTGCTGTAAATCAGGAGAAAGGCATGAACTGTGGGGCCACACTGGCATACGCCAGCGCAGCAGGGCAGGGCAGGGCAGGGCACCCCCAGGTGCAGCTGCTTCTCTGTCCACCTCAGGAAATATTCATTTTCACTTCTGCTTTTGGGAATTTAGCTCCCTCTGGTGGGAGTAGCTTCTTTTAGCTCATAGAAAGCAATTTTGCTTTTTGTAGTTTAAAAGTAATTTTGCCTTTTTTGAGCATCTGAAGATCCTGAACGGTTTAAACTAAATCCTGTGCTAAGCTCGTGTTGGCAGATATCATGATATAAGAGCTTACTGAAAGTGTATTTCAAAAACTCATGCAATGCTTGAATAGGGGTGTCCAAATTAGGGCTTCTGTAGATTGTTTCTTTTTGAAAAGGAGCTTCTTTTGCACTATTTAAAAGCAGCACCTTGGGAAAATCTAAAACACTTCAAATCACATACTGAAGGGATCTGAATACTTGGAACTACGCAGTGAGAGAAAAACTAACGCTATGCTTTGTGTAATAAAAATTTCTGTTCTGCTCAGCCTACGTGGACACATGGTACAGGATGGAAGTACAGTGCCTTTGACACCCCATTTTTCAATCCTGAGTGCAAAGTCCGTTCAGATCATTACTCATCGTCAGGGCTCAGCAGCAAGGGCAGAGATTGGCAGGAGCCTGCTCCTAAGCTGAAGGAACTGGTGTTCAGGACTCTGCTAACCCTAAGGAGTCAAAAAGGCAGCACAGAAGCCCTCTCCCCCTTCCAGGCACTGTGCATGTGAGGCACAAACCTCCAGAATTTCCTCCTTTCCTTTTCCACCTTCTGTGCTCCCTTTAATTGTAGTAAAAGTTCAAAATCTGCTAGAATATTAATATAACTTCAATATACTATTTCCACCTATTTGAGAATCTGAATAACTTAAACAGTCTCATATAGAGTAGCACTCTCTATGCTGCTAATTTTCTAAATGAAAACTCTTAGTACTAGGACAACATTTTTAATCTCTTAAAAAAAATAAACTGCTGGAATGTGAGGAAGGAAGCGTGGTATTTCTAGCTGTAACAGATTATTTCCTTTACTAGTTACTAGTTGTAACAGAGTATTTCGTTGTGCTAAAATTTACCTTCATTATTATTATGCAAGTTAATTCTTTCTAGGATTTCCTTAAATACCATTATATCCAAGGCTTTGTGTTAAACTAATGAAAAGTTTACTACCCTCTACACTAACTAATCCTATACTAATCAATCTCTGCAAATGACAGATGAATCCCAAATAGACTAATAAACCATTTCCTGATCTTTTCCTCTGTCCATTCTCCTCCTCTCCTTTAGTCTTTTTTTTTTTATTCTCTCTCTCATCCACTACTGGTTGTTTCCCCATCACAATATAAACAATTTTACCTTTAAACTGAAATAGAAATAAAACTCTGAACTCATTAAGCTTGCCTACCCCTCCATCTGCCCTTCATCTCTTAATTCATGACATGCACTATTTTCCTATCATGCCATTTCCTTCTGTTATCTCTCTTTACATGGTCTTCTATTTCTTGTGCTCACTTGAACTCACTCTCACCAAAGTATTTAAGACAGCAGTACAACCTTACCCTCTTGAATTGTCAACAATCTTCAGCAGAACTTTGCTTGAAATCTTGGGCCACATAACCTCCAGATAATATAAACCTTGTGAGTAACCTCATTCCAAAAGACAATTCAGAGACGTACTGTCTACCAGAAACATGCTGAGTTCTCCAAATTAAGTGGCTAATCTGTCTCTCTGAAGCTGTTTAGTCAGTATCTAGCTGTCACATTAGACTCAAAGACTAAATTTGTTTTTCAATCTTCATCCTAAGGTCTCAACGGGATTTAAGTTTTCAGTGACTGTAAAAGTGACTGTAAACAACCCAACTTGACAGACTTCATTCTACGTTCCTACAGCACCCCCAGAGACAAGAATCCAGTTATTTTTTCTCTTTAACATGCTCATCATCCTACTTTTCATAAACTAAAACCCTTTATTCATACTTGAGTTACCACAGCAGCCTTTTCTTTTGCTCTAACTAGGATAGAAAATGCAATTCTGAGGTATTCAGCATGCAGCTGCAAAAATAATTTTTCTAGATCATGCGTGGAACATGCTATCTTTCTGTCTTTCCAGTTAGCTCACCTTGCACTAAGCAGAAAGTCGGAATAGATCACCTCCCAGGGTCCCTTCCAATCTCAGTTATCCTATACTTTTCTCTTTTTACACCAATTGCTTGGTCCTCACTCTTAAGGACTTCCAGGCTATCCTTTCCCTATTTGTTATCCTTCATCCAGCACTAAGAGGCTACCCTTAGTTCCGTTCAGCCAACGGCACCAACTTCCATTATTCACTCATTAAATTTTCAGTCGAGCTCATTCATCCCATTTCCCATATTTTCCTGATGGTTGGAAAGAATTTCCTAGTAAGCACCCATGAAGTCATTTCGTTCTTCTCCTCTGTTTCTTAAAACTCTTTGCTGCAAGGTCAACAAACAAACAAAACCTTGGCAATTGTTTGGCTGCTATTGTGCTAATACCGCTGACCAAAAAACAAAACAAAACACTTTCCTTGTGCTCCTGTATTCTGTATTTGTTCATAACTGTTAACTTTTGTCAAAGACTTAAAAGTGTCAGCTGTCTAGGAATGGCATTGATTTTTTGTTTGAAAGGAGTCTAGCAGAAGGGGATCCTGGTCAGTAATTGGAGCTCCTAGACACTATAATAATTCATTTTACATAATGTATCTATTTTAAACATATATATATATATATATACACATACACACACACTATATACACTATGTATATATAATACAGAACATAAGTTTTACCTTTCAAATATTTGATCCTGGAAGTAGTGCATAGCACCCAACCATTGGTTATACTAGGATTATCTGGATAGTTGCATTTGTTACATAAAACAAAAAGTTTGCAGGGTAAGCACAGTGTTTCTCTGATCAACAGCCCAAGATCTACTTTTTGTTACACACATTCAGCAGTTTGTATATAGATGATTACCCTATAGCCACAAACTCAAGGTGAAGCAGACAAGGATGATTATGTTAAAATGTGAGATGAATCAAAGATAGCATGCTACACAGCAAAGTTAACAATTTTAAAATAATTTATTTTTTTATTTTTTACCATTTTAAATCTGTGTGAAACTTGAGAAAGCCTGGCAATATCTTCAAGCTCCAGAAAGGAAATGATGTACAGGAGCAACGGGACAGGAAGCCGTTCCAGGAAGTCATAGTTACCTCGGCACAGATTGAGGACATGTTCCAGGACTTTGGCACCAAATACTATAGCAATTTGAACTGTGATTAAAAAAAAAATCCCAACAGACAACAGATTTATAAAAGCTTGAAATTTCTTCCCAATAATCCCATATTATTCACCTATACCTTAAAAAAAGATTGGCTTGGAAGTTTTGAATGTTCTCTTGAGAAAAGAGGATATAGTATCTAATACTGAACATTCATAATATATTATATTTCACTTTTGTGTTCAGACTGGTGACATCCAGGAAGCTTGTGTAGTAAAAGCAGGCTATAATAAAAAACAAACAAACAAAAACATTATCTAGTATAGAGCAAACTTGCCTCAGCTGACAAGCATCAAAACAGCAGCAAATCTGAACCGAAACTTGTCCAGATCCATTTCTTTCAGGTAACGTGTACTTGCGCGTGTGTGTGTAAAGTTTATTAAAACAAAACAACAACAAAAACCCTGTGCTATTTATTCAGGAATAAGTTAGAAAAAGCACTTCAGTTGCATGCTTTGGGGAAAATAATGATGGCTACAATGTCAAGGCCCTCTAGTTCTGCTTCTTACCTTATTTGCATTCAATTAAGCCACTGAAATGAAATTGAAGACAGTTATCTACCATAGCACATGACATTTTGTGACTCATTCACCTTGCGATCCACTACAACCCTAAATTCTTTTCTATAGATCTGCTACTTAGTGTGCTACTCCCCATCCTGTATTTATACAATTAATTATTTTTGCTTCAGTGTCCAACTTTCAACTTGCGCTTTTGAACTGTTTCTTCAGCTCATTTATCTGAACTGTCAACTTTGCTTAACGAAAACAGTTGTTCATTACAACATAGGATCTTCAATTCAATTTAAAATGCTTTTAATCAATGATCAGTGGTAAATTTTAAAGTTGTATGTTGTTGCCGAAATAAAAATGACGTGAATATAATCATTTAGATGTGTAAAGGCCTTTTCCGATATTGGGACACAGGAATCAAAACTAAAGCAGAATTGCTATTTTATTTACAATGAAATGTTTCTAATACATCCAAAGTATTTTTGGCCAACTAGAGTATATCTTCTGGTACATCTTACAGTCATAAAAAGAGAGATAAACACAATCATGGAAACTGAGACTGTATTAAGTCACTAAGCACATCCTATTCTTTTGCAGCAGTCTGTCTTCCAGAATATTTTGTCAGATTAGTTATAAAAGATAGTTAATATGTTTCAAAGCCTTCCCAATTCTAGGAAGTCACTGTTAAGACATATTTCTGATTGACTTTTTCCTTCTCTTTCCGTTTCAAATATTCCTAAGGTAATGATGTAAAAGAAGGCTATCACCTTACTGCTCTTTCACGTCTTTGAGTAGATGGCCCAATACTGTGCAAGTTTTTTTTTTTTGTTGCTATATTATATTGCAAATTCATATACAGTTTGTTGTTGTTTATCATTTGTTTTGTTGCTCTCCAAGTATCTCAGCTCCATACAGTTGGTTATTTTGCTCAAGTTCTTTATACAAATACCAAATAACCTACATGCTCAACTAAAAATTGGCCTATGTAATTCAAACTGGTAGGTAATAATGATCCAACTCCCGGCATGCTGGGAACGATGACAACAACAACGATGTTTGTAATGTGCACCTATTTCATGCTGAATGATTAAACAAACTGCCATGTGAATATTTGCTGCTGCTTGAGGTTTTCTTGAGAGTCGACCATTTATTTCTATAAATAATAATGTATAATAATGTGATCTGGTTTAGATGTTTTAATATACATTTAACAGTATTTATCTTACTTTATAGATGCATCTGCAACTAATGATGAACCAACTGTGAAAGGATATTGAACTCCAGGTTGTCTGTAAGATTCTCATCCTTAAGAGCACTGCATAGTACATGATGACTTGTACTATTTGTTTATCCATCCAGAAATGTAAATAGACCTCTCCTCTCTAGCTTACGCTATCATGCATTAACGATGAGCTTAATTCATTAATGAATTCAGCTTTACAAAACCATAATGAAGATCTAGCCATACATAAAATCTCTTTAGTTCTATTATAATGAGAACAAATAAATGATATTTTGTGTCACTGTCCAAAAAGAAAAAAGAAAGGAGGAAAAAAAAGAAAGAAAAGAAAGAAAACATTTCAAGTAGATGAATAACATTTCATAAAACTCCAGCATAGGAAACTAAACTGAAAAATAAGTGCGCTTTTCCAAGATATTCCAGACTATTTTATTGTTGAATTTTACAGTACAAAGGTGGCTTTCTTTCTGTGCTATGTACTCTGCAAATGCATTTTCCTCTCCAAACTAAAAAAAAACACTCAAAAAAATTAATAAAAAGAACTGCATATAATCAGAAATGCATATTAAAGTATACAATGGACTAAATATGTTTCTGTGCATCAGTATGGAAGTAATACTTTAAAAGCTTTTAGATTTAGTAGCAAGCAGCACAGTCATTAGGTCTCCTACTTAGGATATTATTCGAGTATATGTATTTTGGAGAATTTTAGGGGAAAAAAAAAATCTGAATACTCAGGGAAAATAGCAGAAGGGCTTCTGTAACAGGAGTTGAAAAGGAGATGTACAAGCATCTGATTGCATGGAACAGCTAGAGTTAGACAGAAATATCATCAATATTACTTCTTAAAAACATAGTAAGTATTATTTGTAATAATATTCTTTATACTAACATTTTCCTGAAGTTAAAATGTATGTGTTTTATATTAATATATTTTTTTAAAACAGAAAACCAGGTGAAAAATCATGATTTTAAAGATAATTTAGAAAGAAGGAAGAAATGACTAAAAGTCAGGAAGGGATGGCAGCTATGGCTTTCAATAGCTCCTATGGGATGGGAAACCTCAGAATCACCAATACACTTTTCAAGAAAAAGCAGGCAGATCTTATTTGTAGTCTACTAGAAACACACAGGATAAGAGTAGAAAACTGGGCATGTTAGCAATAACTTAACTATTTGGATCATTGTACCAAATAATCCAACACAGATGTTTTATTGTAAAATTAGATTAATATCAAATACCTACTTTATGAGAAGGAAAAAAAACCCTCATGTTTAGAAGACAAAAACCACTAAAACCTATTACTAAAATTCAGCTATAAGTTCTGTGTAACTACTGTCAAAAAAAGTATAGAGAACTATTTCCTAGAAAGCTCAAGTTTATAAAAATTGATAATCACATTTGTCAAATTAAAAAGTGGTGCAAATTTCCTTTGCATCAAATAATGGAGTAGTTATAAACACCCATTGCAAAAGAATGTAATATATTTAAAGACTCCTTGAGCACTAACCAAATCCAAAGATCCAACAGGCAGTCTGTTTTCTAATGTTTCATTCCTCTTCTAGTCAAAATAAGTAGTAATCGCCGGAATTAAAGATTCATTTTATTACGGACTGTGACTGCTCACAAACTTTTTCCACGGTTTGGGCATTTACAAAGTCTCTCTTGCATATTCTTTTATATCTCGTAACTTGAGCTCAGAACGCGCAGCCTTTCTGGCAATGGGAGCACTAACGGCGTTCATTTACAGCTTCCCCACCCAGCTGCTTAAAAGACTGTCATGATTTTAGTCAGAATTGCTTGAAATTTGCAGACAGTTTCAAAAGTTACCGTGGGGATCAGAAACACACACTAAACAAAAATTCAGAATCTATTAGCTCATCGGGGCTAAAAAAAAAAAAAAATCCCTTGAAGACGACTCATTGAGCTGTAGCAATGGCACATTTTAACAAGCAAAGCATAGCAAACCTGAACTGGTTTGTTTCCATCCCTAAATGAAGAAAGAGGCATATTTACTCTTGGAACTAGCAGGAACTCTTTCCTTGAGGAAAAAGTTTTATCCTCTCTCCTATCATCCAAGATGCATTTACTGATTGGGACAGCACTCTTACTCTGCCTAGATGTGGAAAAGATGATGTCTACCAAATCCATTTATGAGGAAGACCAGGCTTCATCATTTGGAAATAACATGCCTTTAAAAATCACTATAAAAACATGAAAGATATGAAGTCATATCCGTAACTCAAGTTCTTTTAGGTCTGCACATAACAATAGTACAAGTTCAACTTATAAGAAAATTTCACCAGTGCAAGGTGTTTGAGCGTTTCTTAGTTTTTCTGGGTATAAGTCTCAGATCTCCATCTGATAAGTCAGGTGCAGTCATCAAGTTCTCCTTCTTCAGACCAGGTCATAGCTTATAGAGCTCAACTATTAACTGCAACTACTGAATTAAGTCCAACTTTGATTTAGTATTTTCAGGAAACCATTTCCTCTATGAGCCATAAGCACTAGTAACTTAGGACATGACATCTTTCTTAAAAAAAATTATTTATTTATAATGAAAGTTATAAGAAGCAGCAGGTCAGTAACTGGGGCATGCATTCCCATGGAAGTTTGGGAAAAAATACAGTTGTTTCTGATATTCTCAGTGACCTGTTCATGTGACCTGTCAAGTCATCCCTGTCCCCTTCCCCCCCGCCCCATCCCCTCCCAAACAGCTTATTGACAACAATCCCCTCAAATCAACAAAGAGACTTCTAGGCTTTGGAAAAAAGCTCTATAAATCTGCATTTTGACTGCCTTAACCTCGCTGCATATTCCTAACCTCATGTTGCACCCTTTGCACCAGCACCACTTTTGATGCTGTTTATGTTAAATCAGGCTGTGAATCCAATGTGCCTCATGACATGGCCATAAAGATAATTGTGCTGGCACAGCACAGAGCATTATAAGGGGCTACTGCGTTATTAGCAATGAAAATATTGCTTTCTGCTCTATTTCTGTTGCTACTAACTCTGTTATTTTCTTACAATGACTATCAGCGTTGCTGGGATTTATCCCACGTTTACAGTAACTGTTATGCCTTTTTGTTTTTCCAATATCCATCCATTAATTTATATTAATGAGTTTATATACAAAAGTCTGACAGCCTAAGAAATCACATATCTGTCACGAAAATTATTACAGATCAATATTCATAGATTATTCCATTATATGCCACAGCAAATATGTAATTATTTTGTCATCTTACTCTGAAGAGATGAATCATCCAAAAAATTCTCATGAGATTCTTTAATTTCTCCAGGTCTTGCTTCACGAAATTCACTCCTAAGAGAGATTTTCCACCACCTGAAAACTACCTACAGTTGGGGAAGAAGAAAAAGGAAGAAGTAATGAGCGTCAAGTACCATTAGATAAATATATTACTAGGATTTAGGACTCTGGTTTTGTAATTATTACTGCATTCCCAAGAACATAAGAGATCAGACCATGGTTACATTACCAGTCGTCTACCAGATTAAAGGAGAGTAAACATCCCATAATGCATCTAGAGAAATGTGAAGTGTTTTACATAAAAAGGAAAAATGTTTTCAGTTCCTGCATGCAAATGGTTTGTACAAATTAATACACATTTAATGACATCTCAACTTGCAAAACTATAAATGTTCTCTTCTCATTTTGCATTCAGTGGCAGAAGTACAGCTCATTAGACAGTAAGTTACTCGCCCTAAGCAGATATACCCATTCAGCTGCTCAGGTGCTCAAACATGACAGCACTGAAAATTTAATTGTCATTTTAACATTTTGTTCTTAGGAGCCAATTGAAATTAATAAGACTGTTCAAATCTCAGAATTTAGACTGTCTTAAAACTCAGGAAAAAGCTGCTCTGTACACATTCAACTCACATTTTTAAAGTTAAAATTAAAAAGAAAAAGAAAGCCTAGATTACAAAGCATACAACTGACACAAGAGAGTAATATAAATGGCCAATGAGGTAGCTATGAAATAATGGAGAAGGGGCTCTAGCCAGCTGCTGTTTTCCCAGAGTTTTCTTAAAATGTTGTATTTGTACATGAACAGTGTGTGGGCTTTTAATATCTACTTTGATTTTGTTGCTGTCATAGCTGGGTCTACAGGAGAGGAAAGCCATACTCATGTCTCTTCCTGCACATGTGTTGTCTAGCAAAAATCACACTACAAGCCAAAAATCATGAGCCAGTTGCTGTTGTAGGTAAGGTAAAAAAGCCAACCAAACAAAAAAACTCCTTGTATTTTTACTAACATTAATCTTATTTTCTTTATTTTCATTTGCTAGAGAAGAGTCAGAATTTTAAATAAAGTTATATGTATAGGGAGATTCCTGACACACTGAGGAGAGATAAAATTGGCAAATAAGAATATTAGTGAGGTATATACTTATACACACATACACGCATATACATACTATACATTCATCATGTTTTTACTTTTCTATTGGCATATACAAAAAGAAAATTATAAGCAAACCTTGATTTACCTGTCAATAAACCACAGAAGACTACTCTCATATACTGACTGAAGAACACAGAGTTAAATTGATTTAACTAATTTTATTTTACAAATCTTAGACCTGAAAAGCGTTTTACATCTTGCAGCATGGAATGCAACTTTAGATCTCTTCAGTATTTCAATGTCAAAATACAGATTTTAAAGTGGAGAAATCAGTATTTGTAATTTCCAATAAATTGAATTCACTTTCGTAATTCTTACACCAAAAGCTCAAATTCTAGACCGTCTGCCAAAATAGGCCCACACCAATCCTTTCTTTATTTTTCAAGCCTTACTTGTATCCATTTGATATTTCATGTACAGTAACAGGAAATATGTACAATTAAAGGCTTAACATCTACATTTGGCATTTGAATGTCAAATATAGCCAGCTAAAGATCATCATTTTGATGTCTCTAAAGGCTAGGGTATCATTACAGGGTAATCAAAATTACTAAATCATATTTCTGACAGGAAACACACAAGATAACTTCAAATAACTCTCCACAATGTTCTGTAAAATAACCTTTATGTGAATTTAAAAACAATCAAACCAACCAACCACCTACTCCGTTCCAAAAGTTCATCCTATTTTTTAATGGCATACACAATCTTTATTTTTGCACTTGCCTCTTTGAAAGGAAAACAAACCATTTTACCCATTTTGCATTCTAGAATTTAATATACTAGAAATAAATTGCACCACTGAAACATTTTATAATAGCAGAGTCAACATTTCTGTAATGTACAGGCACAGTATAGACTACCATTTTGCTAAAATAATGTCATTTAAGATACTAGTGGTAATATGAGAATTCAGTGCAAAAGATGTTATACACTTCTTTCCATTTTGTTTCAATGATGATCTTAACTACCTGGGAAGACTTCAGCCCTAGTGCGTTTGTAGCCCACTGCAGGGATAACAACAGTGAACCATTACACTGTACTTCCAAAAAGCCGCTTTTTAAAAAAAAAAAAAAAAATCTCTGACCATATAGGAAACATGAACATGGAGGGCTACTTTCATTGCCCCATTTATGGGAAACTTGAGGGGAGAATAAGGACAAAAGAAATGATATGCAAATAGGGAAA